TTCTTCCCATTCGTTCAGCCACATGTTCTCAGTTGTTATGCCTGCACATGTCCCCTGTATGAACACTATATCTAATCTCCGTTTCTTAAACCAGCCAAAAAATGCCTTTGCTTGCTCGTGTGCCCAGTGGGTTGGAGCCCACTGACATTTATGGATGCGATCTTGACCAGCCTCATGGATCATTGAAATGGACGAGAGGGACCTACAAACAGCCAGACTTCTGCACAGGGCGCGGGCGAACCAGGTGCTCAGACGATTTCACTCTTCATCCTATTTCGGCCCCTTCCCTGTTGACCTGCTGGTCCGTCGCTCCCCCCCCCCCCCCCCCCGCCTCCCACACACAGCTACATTCGATCCGGCACTGATCGTGATGCGATTCGAGCGACCGAGGGCGCAGCAGCAAACCAGACAGGACTGCGACCAGTTCCCCCTACTTGGGAGCCCATGAGTCAAACGAGTCTCCACTGAAGCACGTGCCCACCACCCGGGACCAGTATCACCACTAGATCCTCCCATATTGGACCCCGGCCGACCCGTCAAGAGGAGCACTGCGCCACTCACCGTTAACCGCACACACTCATAGCGCCACAGCCTTCGTGCCAAACGAGGACGCGGCGGCGTGGCATAATCCAGCATGCTACAATGCCCTACAAAGCAGCCAACATTTAGAACGTCTCGGAGAAGGAAAGAAATGAAAACAAGCAAAGAAAAACGAACAGATGAACGGAACCGAATGCATTTATACGCTCTTACAAAACGCGCGCTGCATCTAAAGACTGGTCATTCGCGACACAAGTTCCACCGCAATAAGACAGACCGAGACCAAAGCGCCCTGCCCCTCGGCACCCCATCGACACGACTGACGTTTACCGTACCCTAGCGCTCCGCGTGACCGCCCGGCGCGCCGATCACGGCTACCGGAGAAGGGCGGCCGACGCCGCAGCCGGGCCGCACACCGCGCGGGAGGTCCGAGGCGACGGATCCAGCGTCGCCCGCCGGCGGGAGCAACGGCACATGCCACCGACGTCCGCCGTGCCTGAGTGATCCGTGCTCTCGCCCGTCACGCCTCCTCCCACCGCGCCGACCAGGATCGCCGGAGAGGGGCGACCGTCCCCGCCGGCGCGTCCACCGCTCAGTGCACAGCCCTGGTCGCCGCTGCCAGGCCGGTCACCACACGGGAGGTCTACGGCGACGGCTCTGCTGCGGACCGCCGGCGGGCCCGATGATTAGGCCCAGCTTCGTCTTCCGGCCGGTCCGGGTCAGACCGCCGTCCTGCCGCAGGATCCGCTCCTCCGCCGTCACGGTCGCCCCTGGTCCCGCCTTGCGGAATGAACGCTGTGCCACCTCTCGAGCCGCCTCTGCCGCGGACGAGCGCGGGTCCCGCCGCACTGCCTCTTGAAACGCCTCTGCCTCGGCCACACCAACCGGGACCAGGACGCGGAGCTCGCCGCGGGCCCCGTCGCTCACCCCGAGCTGCACCGCCAGGGCGCGCTGCAGTTCTTCCAGGTCGTTCAGGCGCTGTTTTTTTGAGTTCTTACGCAACTTGGAATAGACATGGCCATATTTCCTGTAGGCCGTGCATATTTTTCTTTCTTGGCATCCAGAAGTGCGCTTCTTTCTTCCCGTTTGGTGTTTGCCAACGATTCAGAGAGAATTAGACGGCTTTGAGTGGCGGACCCGTTTCGCTCAGAACGTCTTTCGTAAATCTCGTAACGGAGGCTCTTCTTATAGAATTTGCACATCACCGTATTCTCGATTTGTAAACGATGGGTGATTTTAATATCGTGGTAGCTCACGTTCAGGTCGAGGAAATGTTTCCCCGAGGATGTGAACAGAATCATTCGATATTCTCGCCCCGCTCTCTCGGGCCAAACTCGACCGTCTTTAGTATCAGCAAAACCTGCCTCTGACTGATATCGGTAGCCTCGATTTCCTCCTTCATTAGACCATTTTTGCTTCATACCGCTTTGAGTGCTGTGAAAGGGGCAGAGCTTCCTTCATCCAGCTTGAAGAGGCCGCTTTTTACAGGTTAACGCGTCTCTTGAAAGAGGATATCTTGGCCTCGATTGCGGAGATTACTCTCGCATTGCCAGCTTCGGTCATTTGCCGAATCAGCTCCAGCGGTCCAGCATCCAACTCCATCGTGTTCGTCTCAGGTGGAGACCGAGACTGGCTTTTGTGCACGCGTTTCCTTTTAACGCTAGTCGTCTTATCTCCGGGAGACTGGACCATTTCTGGCACCGACAGTTGATGATTCCTTCCGGCCGTCTCCGTGCCGCTTGAGACCAGAATCTTCTCGTCTGTGTCCGTGTATGCCGAGTCCTCCAACAGCTCCACGTCGTACCCGTGGAGTCACCGAGGAAAGCGATTCAGTTCAGTTCAAGTTCGACACGCCAGCACAGAAAATCTCACCACGAGCCTCCAAAGCCACCGCGGGCCGCCCATGCCCGGCCCGCGCGACGCGTCACTCGGCCGCTCCCTATCACACGTCACTGCCGGGAGCGCTCCCAATTGTGACCGCCGGTTAGAGAACGTTTTTTTTTTGCCTACAGCAATGAATGATTCTCTCAAAACTTTGTTTTCAATACCAGCAAATCTCGAACTAACGTATCATCACATGACATGCTTGAATTTTCTTCCCGCTCTTTCCCTTCACTAAGTACTCTTCTGGTTTAATGTTCTTACCTTACGGATAGGTCTACTTTATCGATTCTTCCCTCCGCAACAGTCAGTCACTCGGGGAAACTAATTTGTGGCCTGCATGCTGCATTCGAACACACCATTCATTTTCTGCTTGACAAAAGCGAAGCTGAACTATTTCAAGATCATTTCTTTTCAACCGTAATCTCCCTCTCTGACTCTGTGTAACACTAATCTCCCTTTCACTCCCTTCCATTTAATTCTCTCTCTCTCTCTCTCTCTCTCTCTCTCTCTCTCTCTCTCTCTCTCTCTCTCTCTCTCTCTCTCTCTCTTTCTCTCTCTCTCTCTCTCTCTCTCTCTCTCTCTCTCTCTCTCTCTCTCTCTCTCTCTCTCTCTCTCTCTCTCTCTCTCTCTCTCTCTCTCTCTCTCTCTCTTTCTCTCTTTCTCTCTTTCTCTCTTTCTCTCTCCCTCTCTCTCTCTCTCTCTCTCTCTCTCTCTCTCTCTCTCTCTCTCTCTCTCTCTCTCTCTTTCTCTCCTCAGCTATGGAAATTCATTGACTAGGCCAAAGCTATATAATATTTTTCGCCTACAGCAATAGGCAATTTTCTCAAAACTTTCCTTTCAATACCAACAAATCTCGAACAACTGAAAACGCACCCTTACTGCTTAATTGTCGTCAGTAGCGCCATGGTGACCTAAAACGCTACGATAACAACAGGAACCTTTTTTCATATGTGCCTTGTAGGATTGAAGCTAAGGCACTATGTTCGCTCGCATAATTGGAACAACATGGTGTGAAGACGGATGAAAAAAAGCAGATTATGAATTAATCAACTGGGTACGCTCGTTTTCCTATTCCTTCAATCTCAAACTTTTTTTGGCTGACTCGTTAGGCTGTTTTGGTGCCGAGACCTGCAATCGCCCGGTGCACGCCACGCCAGTTAGCTCATTTGTCCTGATACCTCCCCCCCCCCCCCCTCCTCCCCCTCTCCGGCACTGGACGTTCGCACGGCCCGCCCACTGTCATCCGAAGGGCGAGGGACCATCGCCAGTCCCATGAAGGCTCCGGACGGAAATCCCTACCATCGGCAGGCTCTCTGAGTCCATCTTTAATAAGCCATCTTCCCACAGGATTCGACACCATCGCACCCGCCGTCCTGCATATGGGACTGCGCTGCGCTGAATAATGCAGCGATACAGGCCATCCTAAGCCCACACTGCCGGGCCGCATACGAAATGGATGGGAACGGAGCTCCACGTAGGAGCACACGCCGCCTTTCACCAGCTGGGGCGTGCGGCGTGCTCAAGAATGTCCGGTAACGCTTAATGGCTTCCCGCTTACCGCCGGGGGTGGAAGCGCACCCAACTGAAGAACACCTGGGCCGCGCATAAGTGCTCCACAAAGGACGCCCCTGGTCCTCAGTGCTGCGCCCAGCGCGCAACGCCGCTCTTCTATCCGTTGTATGCATATTTTTATGAGACACAGTGCAGTGTGTTGCGCTGCCCATGTCGCGGTGGCCGGTGCGCCGCTTTCGCCCCACTTGGGAGGCGGTCGCACGGGCCGGTTCTCGATCCGCAGAGTCCTGAGAGTGGCCCTTGGCGGGACATGTGGTAACTTCCCAAGTGGTACTTTGTAGTAGCTACAGGTCTGGTGTGCGTATTACTGATAAGCATGGATGAAGGTGTGGCGATGCATTCCTAGTCCGCCAACCATTTTCAGTTTAATTTTCTTAGCTTCAGTAACACAAACATCCTCGTAGATTTAAGTTATTGACATCTGAATGGTAAAGCTTTTGCATCCTTCCTTTGCATTTTGGGTCCCGTATTATTGATTGATTACATGCATTGACACATGTAACATTGTGCATTGCCCCTAAAAATGCACCTCATTATTGGAAAAGGACCGTAAGTGTTCATGACACCCTGAGGATGGGCCTCTGACCCCGAGTTCTCGGACCTCGGGCAGGGATCGCAGGACTCGGGTGACCTTTTTGGTGGCTTGTACACGAGTTCCAGGCTATTGATATGAACTCGTAGGGACCGAGGTTGGCGGGTCTGGATACATTTTACTGCACTACATATTGAAATTGTTGGCAAGGCCTATTTGCGTCTGCATTTTGAAAATGCATTACCTATTTGGATGAGCCACCTACTGTGGGCCTGTACCTCGCTACGATGCTGTGTTGCTCTTCTTGACACAGGGTCTCAAACTATTCAGAGGCGTTCGTTTCGCGATGTCGCAAAATGCCAAAGGTTCAAACAGCTTATCAGAAGACTACACGCCATTCGTCACATGAATGTTGGTACAGTTCCTTCTTTACGGGCACAAAAAAGAAGCATATATCATCATGAAACATTTATTCACGGCCAGCAGTTCCACCAGTGCTGCAGAGAGATAGACGCAGATAAACATGTGTCACGTTTATCGACGACACCGGGCTCGATGCCGGGAGGTTTATTAGACGCCGACTGGTCGCTCCTTTATCACCAGAGCTGCACCGTGTTTCAGCACCAGTACGGAACACCATGGGACCAGAACACGCGGAGTGTTGACTAACAGGTAACATCAGCAGGCGCACTGCTGCAAACAGGCCCGGGGTCGTGCCAACAAGCTGCGCTTATCAGGGACGCTGATTCCAAAGCCAACCCGTGCAACCCATTCAATCAAAATGTCAAAAATAGCATTTAACAAAGTCTCCACAATGACTGATCTGTTCCAAAAATGTTCAGCGATAGCAGAATAGTGAAAGCAGGAATGCGTTAACGCAGCGCACATCGTCAACCCTGTTTTCAAAGGTGGACGTCATCGATATGGAGCGGTTGGCGTTCGTGGACGTCCGTTGCCGTTCTATCCTGGACATTTTATTAGCCAGAGTCGCTGAAGCTTGCCGCTGGACGTGTGAGCTCAGCACCCTCCTCGAGGAGATGTTCCCCGACCTCCGGGCGAACCTGGCGCTCCCTGCAGTAAGGCTTTCGTCCCCGGACGACAGGTAGATGCCCCATGTCCTCTCTCACTCACTTGACTTGCTCTCCTGCTTCAGCCCTCTGAAGACAAAGAACACGGCCCGTACTCGTGCATGTTCAGATTTCCTCCATGTCGTTACAGAACAGTTTACTTGGGCAAGACGTTCTATGCCTGCACATATCAAAGCAACGCGAAAACACCCACCTTTTACGACAACGACGAGGCTGCAAGATATGAACACCCAAATTCCATCACAAAGGGTGTCTAAAAGTGGCATGGCTCGTGGCCACTTGAAAGGAATGCAAAGACTCTTGACACTATCGGATAGATAGTTGACACTACCGGATAGTACCGGATAGTACCGGATACTTGGATAATTTCAGGTGAGGTTTTCATAGGGTAGCCACTCAGGGCCGGTTGCAACGCACCCAAGCACACGGCAACAGAAGACCGTTCAGACCGTTCAGACCGCTCAAACCGCTCAGACCGTCAGACCGGTCGTTCAGACTGGCCCTCCTGTGCTGGTCAATACTTACAGCAGACATCTGTACATCCCCTCTGGCTCGACCAGGCTGCAGCGCAGAGAGAACTGGCGGGCGGCGGCGGCTTCGGCTGACCCTTCTCCATCCGCAGACTCGGGAGCCCCTGTTGACAAGCGACCACACAAGGTCAGTGCGAGGCCAATGGCTCGCGCACTCGTACGGCGCGCCTTGGCCGTATTCGGCAGGGGTCATACTGAGTTAATGCACTGGTCGTCTGAAATCGTTGCGATCGTGAAGAGGCGTTTGTAATCCGGCAAGGTTAGGATATGAATAAGTTGGAAATGAAGTATTTCACCCACATGTTGTTTTTACTTCGGTCACAAAGACGCAGCTGGAGCGTGTGGTTATGCCCACCTCTATTCGCCCCTATTTCTACAATAATCGTATCAAGGGTGAAAGTGAGCGTCAATGGTAGCGGTTATTGCTGCACGAACTCTGCGAGAAATCCTGTCAGGTCTGAAAGATGGGCATGACACCGTGGCATGTCGCCTCGTATTAGCAGGACTGGAGGCAGCCACTCAGAATAAAGCAGCAATGCAATAGCCAGTGGGCGATGCATGAATGCAAAATCATGGCCCCTTGAAGACGGGCATCGAGAGAGTTCTTCGCTCGCCAGAGATCTATGGATCCCCGGAGGTGGTGATTGCGGACGAAAATGACCTCCCTCGAGAGCCACCTCCTGTTTCCACTGAGTACCTAGTCGGCAACAGTATACTAACTAATGCAGCTGAGCATGGCCGTCGGCAAGGGCGCAGTATTCCTTCAATGGGAACAGAGCCGTAGTTTGCGTTCAGTTACCAAGTATGTGCACCGCGCCTAACTGACGAAAGAGACGAACAACGCACCTGTTTACCATGCCGACCTGCATGTTCTATTGCTGTTTCTGTTTGTATAAAAGTTCATGTGTCATGTTTACACACGTGTTTCATCTTTGCAGCTCGTGCTACCCCCACTAAACTAGGGATCACTATTTTGTATTATATTCGTCCCCGAAGTCATTTGCCTAGTGCGCAATCATCACAGGCCGCCGTATGTCGCTTCTGTAGCGTAGGTAGACATTATTCAGAGGCACGCCTTGTTTCCAATGAGACTTCTGGTCGTCGAACAAGCATGGTTTATAATTTTGCTGTTTTATGAAACACCTTTATTCTAAACAAAACTAGCACTGAAGAAGCTGTAAAGATGACACGTTTGTCCTGGTTTTGGCCCATTTTAAGCTATACCATATGGTATATACATGGATACATATGGTACTGTTCCTTCTATAATCATGTTTACCGTGCTGACGAGGGACAGGAAAGTCACGACAGGTGCATGTCTCCGAGGATGCACTACCACTCATGCGATGAACTGCCCCATATCGAAGGGCAATGGGTGGTGGGTGCACAATGCTTACACTATCACGTATATTCCTGCCGAACGGAAGACAGGAACACCGCTTGATATTGGGGTTCCATGCCTACGGTAATGAACATCGGTACTCTTTATATGTCAAAGACACTGGTAAGGCCCTCTGTTATGCATCATATTGCAGTGTATTGTACATTCAAGTGCTTGGCCATATACGCACCCCTCATCGACCTCGAGTCGACATCGCAAAGCGGCTCGCAGGAAAAACACGCATTCAAAGCGCTCATACAAACGCAAGCACACTTGGCATGGCAGAACAGATGGATAAGTATTCCATTGGCAGATAAGAATCGCATAATGTCCGGCCAAATATTTAAGCCCTCCTTTAGAAGCACCAGTGGACGATCTCCGGCTCCAGCAGGCTTGAATCTAGCTTGAGAACTATGCCTGAGCCGCCACCTGCTCAGCCCCTTGTGGATTCGAGGTAGATCAGGCTGCCGCGCGTTGCATCTATCCTGGCTTTGTGTTGCCAACTGTTAAGCTATGGCTTTGGGTTCCCCAGTTGTCGAAATTCCTTTCAGTGTGCAAAGCGTATGGTATGTCGCAAGGTAACGGGTAGACGGACACTTCGGTGTGCAAAGCGCAACACTTACACAGTGGTGTTCTCGCCGTCCCGCGATAACCCTTGCACAAAGCTGGCCAACTTTTGCTAACTTGACTGTGGACTTGAGGTTTAGGAAGTTGAAGTTGACTTGATTAGCTTATTACGACCAGCTCATGTCGTATTTAGGTTAAAAGCAGATGGTCGCTTCAGCACGATGCATTTTACAGCACCAAACCGTCTTCGTCTTCAGATGCATACTTAACCTGGACGCTGGCTCACGAATCGTCTCACACGCTCCCGAACTCGCTGCCATCCGCAAACTTCCCACCGGCTAACTTTCAGGAGCGGAATGCATAAACAACGCCCGAAAGCCGGCGCGGTAAGCCAACTGATGGCTCAGCGTCTGACCCCGACCTCCTGGTTCCAGTCAGTCACTGACCTTCGTAGTCGGCTACTTCTGACCTCTTGCCGAACCTGGGGCCGGGATAGAACCTGTCTGCCTTCGGCTGCACACGAATAGTGCCTGCAGGAGCAAGAGACGGTCCGCTCAACACGCGACAGCAGTCGGTAGGCTCGCACGTGCCCGGTGGCGTACAACACGGCTGGAACCCGTCGTCATGTAGAGTCTAAGCATCATGAACCAGAATGACACCGTTTGCTCAACTAATACTTGAGACAAATGCATGATACGGTTTATAAACAAAACTGCTTTTATAGACGTGTGCAGAGATGGTGGTGGTTTCATCATTTCACAATTCCAGATACCGATGAAACCAGCTCCACGTTTATCGAATGATTGAATACATCCTTCTCATGTAAGGATAACTATTTACCCTTGGACTGATCAACACTATGATTAACCGAAGCATTACCCAATGCAGGTTCTGAAATGCAGTTGGTACACAGCACCTCCTAGAACATCAGCGGCTTCCAAACGCGAATAGGCGATGACAGAAGCCCTGCTCTTTCCAGCCAACGCCATGAAACGTGAATGTAGCAACTGGCTTCAGGTGGATCTTCTTTGCTCCATTCCGACACTCGTGCCCACCTAAACTGCGACCATGTCACGCAATGTACCTCACCGTGACGGTGGTGGCTCGCGCACTGACCTCGAGGATTGACGCGGAAGCCTGCCAGGCTGCGGGCCGAGTAGCTGGCTGGGAAGGCGCTGGACGGCGCCGCCAGCAGCAGGCCCAGCAGCAGAACGACCAGCAGCGCGCGCCAGCACACCTCCCGAACACAGGCGCCGGACATGTCCACCTGCGGACAGGTCAGAAGTGTGCAGTGCCAGAAACAGACATCATACATGTCCACCTGCGGACAGGTCAGAAGTGTGCGGTTCCAGACACAGGCATCATACATGTCCACCTGCGGACAGGTTAGAAGCGTGCAGTCCAGGACATAGGTATCAGACATATTGACATGAGGACAGTCTGGCACACATCAACACATCTCCCGGACGGACCCGTTCACCCACGGACGGGTCATGTGTACACTCCTCTCGGGCAGACAGCGGTCAAGGTAATTAGGGCTCTGTCAGTGGTCACCGCTCATCTTACATGCACGGACAGCAGATTTGTTCCGCTGAGGTCCTCTTTGAGTCGCTGAATGCAAGTCCTATGCGTTAATGTACAGCACGATGTGGCTAGCATTGGTTTGACGAAACCGAAGGCATGTTGTTAACTGAGCGTTTAGAATCCGCTAAAACTGCATTGCATGGGAGCCGCCCCAACGACAGTGTCTTCCTGCTGGAGTATGGGGTACAGAATGGGCGTCTTAAGCTGACATCGCCGTGCGAAACTATCGGCATCGGGTCTAAATGGCCGACGTGGCAGTTGAGCCCATTAAATAGCCCATAGCCTTCGATGTCTGACTCGGCTAGATTTCGGGGATAACGGAGTTCGTAACTTAAATGCAATTGATGGACTGTTGATAGAGTTACATTGAGCTATATTGCGTCAGTCAGTCACAGACACAAGAAGCATTCCAGAGGCCGGACGGCGCCTGCACATCTGTGCCTGTTCTGGTCTCGGTCTTGAGTATGCGGCTTCGAAACGAAGCTGCCGGGGACAGCACTAGACCAGGCAAGTGGGAAATGGCCTCCGCAAACAGTGCTCGGTGTCGGCACGTTCTACGCGGCTTGCCGTTCCAGGGACGGAGAAGCTTGAGCTTGACTACTTAGAGCCTGTCAGTTTGTCTGGAGGTCGCTTCCAGTTGAAGACTGCGTCGTGCTAAGTGCTGCAGCTGGGACACGTGGCTAAGATGGCGTCCCCACAAGGTAACTTTGCGAAGGGAAGCAATGGGCGTTTCAGTGGTGCGATCTCCCCGCATGGGAACAACCCTGACATGGCACATTCCCTTTCAAAGCTGCTGCTTCTATCAGACAGCTGTATGCATGGTTTCCAGTACCGTCTGCTTTAAGCATCCACACGACATTCCAGTCAAGTCACGTGGTGCACGGTAGCCTCGTATGCCTATTCTGGGGAATACCTCCACTCCCCGAACAGGCACCACGTGGACCTGGATTTGGGTCCAGTGGTTTAGCATCACACATTTCCCGCACGGTAAGGGCTGTGAGCACGGCACCTACGTGCGTCGTCCGTTCGCCTGCCGCCACCCACACACCGAGCACGCTCAGCGACGCGGCCCCGGCGGTGCCGGACCGCTGCCGGTGACGTCATCAGTCCCGTCGCCCACGGCCGTCATTCGGCCCGGAAATGAGCGGTTCCAGCGGAAGGCCTGAATGCTAAACGCGCCGCGCGCCGTCCGTGCTCAATTCCAATGCTTCGGTACCTGCGGCGTGTGTGCGCAGTCACCATTTTCGCACGAGCGCCGGCTTAAAGGTTAAGTGACCCGTCAACCGCCAATGACACCGGAGCACCGAGATGGCCGGATGGCCCTGCAGTGTGTAGCGGCGGCGCGGCGAGCACGATTTGGGTTATCGACTTCGGCATGGGGTCGCCAGTGATAGCACAAGACTCGATCCACGCGGTGAGACTTGACAGATGCGATATGCAATGGATACAACTTGCATGATTGAAACCAGGCTGGATTTCCGTGCCCCGTACTTGGCAATCGCCCGACTTCATTTCCAGCCGCTACACCCAGGCGTTAGTCTCGTAAACCTATCCCGGGCTGACTCCCCGTTTCTCCTATACTGAATGAGGGGGCGGCGTATTTCAGCCCCCTTCCACCTGAGATGTCGGGAAAGACCGGGCTGTTTTAAAGAAACTGCAGACACGGCTCTTGATTACCGTTAATTACATGTACACTTTCAAAAAAATATATCCATAACTTCACATAGGATGGCCAATCGGTAGCAAAGCTTCCCGAACTATACGATATATTTATCTGTTACAACCAGCAATCGATTTTGGTGTAATCAGTGTCTATCGACAGATGCAGATCTCGAAATTGTGCTACGGCCTCTTATCAGAAAAAGCGGATGCTATGCGCATAAAAACTTTGTAGAGGGATCCAAGATGTCTATTGTGGTGATGTAAGTTGGGAGTCTACGGGAGTAGTCGATATGAATGTCTACCACGATGTTGTTAAGTCCTGTGAGTGAAGTATGCACCAAGATGGGATCCAAGATGTCTATTGTGGTGATGTAAGTTGGGAGTCTACGGGAGTAGTTGATATGAATGTCTACCACGATGTTGTTAAGCCCTGTGAGTAAAGTATGCACCCATGAAATATCCTTTAGCATGCACGGACAGGTGTCAAAGGAGCACCCATTCGCAGCCGTCAGCTGTTGGCCAGCTGTTGGTGGTCACGATATCCGTATACTGCGATCCCGCCGCCTTCTCGTTGTTCCTGGATCCAACTTTTAAGGTTTTTGGATGCAGTTTACTGCCGAGAAGTGAAACATCGGGTTCAGCGAACCGTTTTAAGGCTTCGTGTTTGAGATGAAATGAATGAGATATAATGACTTGATTTGCGTTCATTCTTTACGTTACGTGCTTTTACGTTACGTGTTTGAGATAAAATGACTTAATTTACATTCCTTCCTGGAGACGTCTCCACTGAAGGCTATTTTCCTTCTCTTCCCACAGCGTCTCAGCTGCATACGTTTTCTTAGTTTGCTTATTTTTGGCACTGTAGAGGTGGTATGGGCTTCAGCCTATGTTTCTTTGCATCCGCTTTCTCAAATTCTGAGCACGGTTTCGTCGTAGATTTTGTCGTAGACTCATGAGTATCCGTCAGTTTTATGGGCACATAGTGCCCGAAGTGCAAAGCTGTACATCCAGACGCCGAAAAGTTTTCCCCATATAGGTGCACTGGTGAATCATGACAATCCCCTGCTGCCTTAAAATTGTCTTCTTTCGAACCTTGAAACCTCATGTACCACGTCAGTTTTGCATACTGCAGTCACCATTGTTGTGGCGGAGGAGGGGGGGGGGGGGGGGGGGGGGAGGGGAAGGGGCAGAATTTTCCCCAGCCCGAATTCATGTCGTACATATTCAAAGAGCAGTGCATGAAACATAGATCTTGCTAAAAGGCGTGCCTAGTATACGCTCAGCGCGTTGAAATACTGAGGACGGTCGGTCGGCCGAATTCTGAGCTGGTGTTTGTAAGTCAGTAAGCCTGTCTGCATGTCTGTCTTTCCAAGCGTTTCATCATGCTGAGACTACACAGTTGGATTCCCCATCACCAAATCTTCACTGCCTTGTGCGACCACTCATCACCACATCCCTCGCTGTGTGCAGAAAGTCCACGGTAACAGTCGGGGGCTGATCAGCACCGGGTGGCGCGCGCCACGCGCTGCTTCCTGGAGGCCTGCAGCACTAAATCGCCCCCATCGCAGGTCAAACGGGCGGTCGCGCTGGTCCTGCCATCGTCGGCGGAATGTGGCCACCCACGTGATCCGCGATCATGCTGGGGCTCGTCCGCGAGCGGCGACGAGATGGGAGCCATCGGGCGCATGCATCGCTTTGAACTAGGACTGCTTCGGGACACCAACGCGTCGAGTTATGACCGTCAGACTCGGCATATGAGTGAGGTGTCGCTCGGGGAGCCCGGGGCCGTCACCAAGCGGAAAGGTCGGTCTTGGATGTACGCGTGCAGCAGTATAGCCCTAATCGCGGCTCTGTTGAGTGCCATTCACGCGCACCAGAGCCGTGGGCTGGGCGTCTCGTGGGTGTTACAATGTGGCAGGCTCGCAGGGCAACTCATCCCGGTAGATGGCAGCAGGTGCGGCGGGTCGAACCGCTCGCGCAGCACGTGGAGGTCATTTGTGGCCCCATGCAACTGCCATTGAACAAGTGGCGCTCCGCTCATGACACTGGCGCGCTTGATGCTGGGAACGTTTGGATGTCATCGCATGCATTTCATCTGTATGCGGTCTGAGTCGGGACACTTGGCTGCGAGCACAGACTTGGCCATCGCGTATCCGGAGCGGATAGCGGCAATAGGACAAGCTGCAGCACGTGCGCTTGTGCATGAACACCAGATTGGACGTCTTCGAAGCGTTTTTTCAAGACTGATGTCAGATCTTGTCGCTCCGAGCTGAAAACGACGAAAAGGCAGCTGCGACATGTGGATGCATGTGCTGTCTACAAATCACCAAGGGAGCCCAATACTGTCTGATCCATAGCGATGCTAGCAATTATCCGAAAAGCGACCAACGTCGCTTTTCGTAAACAATATTGAGCTGTAGTACACAACACTGGTGCCGAGAACGAGCGGGCTGGACCCATGGCATCGACACAGACGTAAAGCCCACTTCACGACAAATACCCGCCCGAAGATGCCAGCGCACTTAACAATACCTGAGTCACTATTATCCAGATCACTAGAGTCACCACTACCCAGACCACTGGCGTCACTATCACTAGAGTCACTATCACTGTACCCAGAGCGTCCACCACTGCCGATTCCCCCTTTTCGTCGCTGCGAAAAGCAGCACTCACATGGCGACTTTGCCGCCGGCAGAGAACTGGCACTAGAGCCGCGAGCTGGTGCTGGCGGCTCGTCCCGCAGCGGACATTCAGGAGCGTTACTGGACGTTCGTCAGTGCGGGGTCGCAGCTAAATGGGCCGGACACAATTCAACTGAGTAAACAGCATGCCATTGCGCTGGCGCTCATACCCGTTTTTGTGCGCGAATGGCCACGCGCTGTCGACAGCAGGAGATGAAGTGGCTAACTGGCATATCGTGTACACGCGCATCCACGCGGTAACGGTGATGCCGTGCGTATCCAGACTCGCACAGAGACATTCGACGGCCCGGCCTTAGCAGCGCGGGACCAAAACGATCCGACTCAGGCAAGAGCGTGTGATCGAACTGGCACATATTTATGTTCTAGGGTGTATTTGCCTGCACGCTGTAGAACGTAATACATGAATCGACCAGCATGGGCAGAGCCGTAGTGGACTTCCAAAATTTCAAGCCAGACGACCGAAAGTGAAATGGAGCTAGCTCCGCTTCATGTGAAATGATGAATGGTAACGAACTTCATCTAAAAAAATATTGACGTAGTCAGAGCACGTGGCTATTGTTTTTTAAAAGCTTAGAGAGTTCAGACCATGATATATTCCAAAATCAAACGAGACTTTCAACTAAGTGCGCATCCCGAAATGCTGGCCTTGCGGTCACAGAAACTTTAAAGCCCTCAAAGGCATGCAAGTTTCAAGTTAACACCGGCCCAAGTGGTGGCTGATACCCTTCGCTCGGGTGATGGTCAACTTGACCCCTCGAAATCTGAAAAATTAAGGAAACTGAGGACGTCAAATTCACAGGACGGATTGGTCCATGTGTGACTTCACTTGTGTCAAAGTGGGATTCTTCTAAGTCGGTCAAATAAATCTTCTGGTCAAAAAAGGTCGAATAAAATCAAACTCCAGACTGGCGTCCAAGGTGTCCCATACCTCATTATGCAGCCGCCTTGAACGCAAATACCTGTTCTAAACACGAGGTTGCTGGTATTCCTCTCAGTTTAGTGACCTTGTTAGACCTTTAGAAGGTCATGGTGACCATAATCCTACGAGGATGTTCCGATTTTTGCATTTGGGTAACCACCAAGGATTACGCTAGACGGTATGTCCCTAAACAATTTTGACCTGAGTTATTTAAACTCGGTGACCTAATCTGACCTTTTTAAAAGTCCGCAGAGGATGTGTGTTGCGGTCTCCGTTGTCAATAAATTTGAAATGGACGTCAGAAATTGCCCTGTAAACCAAGTTCCTCAGAACAAACTCCCTTTCTTCTCTGCCTGGTTACCTAGCATGTGCATGGAGTTGGCGAATCTCCGCGGGAGATAACGTTTGTTTTCGAAATGTTAACGAAGAGAGAGCCGTGACTTATATTTCACCTCTGTGTTAACTGCAGATTTTGGTTCGTGGATAGCGTTGCTTGGAAGAAGATCCTGGTTACCTGACTGTAGGCGACGCGACGGCTCATTCAGAAAAGCGAGCGGATCATTTGTCTTTATGCATTGGTTTGCACTGCGATCGCAGTTCATCCACATGCGGTGTGCCATCTGAGGAAAGCACAACACACTTGCAGTTGCAGATGGGTGCATAGCATATGGATGCAAATGCACACACAGATGGCAATATCCTCCACTGTAAAATCCTCTGTCAGGCTCTGGCTTTATTTGGAGACGACATGATGGGGAACTAGGGTCGATGATTGCTGCATCGCATTCTGTTTGAGCAGAGGGTTTTTATCGCCTATAGTCACAACAGTGGTTTGCACTTCCATGGTGCCCAACATGTCGTCATTATTTTTCTTAAGTTGGTGGCGATTGCGTCAGCTGTCAGCAGATTTGCGTTCGGGGACGCTTTTTCACGTGGCTTGAGCTTTGTGGCATGTTTTTGAAAGTTTAATATTTGTGAAACCTTTTTCTCCTACATGCACGGAATGTGCTTCCATAGAAATAATAAATGGAAAACACACCCCTCTCGTGCGCGCTGTGACCAACAACGGTATCGGAAGGGGGCGAATTTGTGCCGTAGATCACTACAAAACTTGAACCAGTCGTACCTGCGAGTGTACAGCAATCCGCGCACCCACCTGTGCAGTGATTCTGCCTAAACAAATGTACATACACCGACCGGTCATTCATGAGAAGATAACTCGGTTGTTAAGATGAGATGCAGGGGATCTCAGATAACATTTGTTTGCTCGTGGATTGCTCGTGGATAACACTCGTGGATTGCTCCGTTACCTTGGAAGTGCGGCGCTGTTCCAGACATTCAGGACCATGAATAGATATACCTGACTGTTCACGTCTGCTTTGCTGCCGGAAGTGCCGGCGCCATTGGTGCTGCTGTAGCACCACCTCCGGTCACATACAATTGATTTAAACATCATTGAGGCACAGTGTGCCATAATTAGCTGTGTAAGCTTTCAATGTTTATGTTAAATTGACAGTCCCCGCAAGTCGGAACGCTATATTCATAGTTGCTCAAGCCTTGTGATATATTTTCGATTTTTGCCAGGTTTCTACTTCGATTTTTTATTTGACCTTTGCAGAAATTGTTTTCATACATGTAAGAAAAATGTGTCCGTAACAGCTCCAAAACACGCCCCCGCTTCGCTCGCGCTGTGGCTGACTGCTGTCGGAGGGACACGACGTTAGGTCGTGAGGGTGAAGCACCAGTGCCGCCGTTTGAGATGGGCGTCTTGCTAAGGAGTGCACATACAGACAGACAGACAGACAGACGGACGCTCTCAGTTTAGAATACTAGCAGGGGCATTGTTTCGCAAGATGAGTGTTTGTGTGGGGGGGGGGGGGCCGAGAAAAAGGTCGCAACCTACTTTCAAAGTACGCCACCGAACGGGTTTCTCTACGGATTTGCCTCACTGCTCTCTCAAAGCTGGGTAAAGGTGGGACTGCTGCCCCCCTCCCCCCAAATGAAGAGAACACTACATCCAGGTATATTAGATGCTTGACGTACTCCCATCAAGCGTATCAAAAACGAAACTAGATAGGGTAATATCCAAGGATACCGTCATATGCTGTGATATTGGCGACAGTTTGTGTTTGGCTGGTATCTGCGTAGTAACTACACAAATATCAGCCAAAAAATTAAGTCTAAAACTGACTGGCCCCTTGATGCTGGACTGAACTGATAAATCTTGAGCAAAGATTGCAGAGCTCATGTTTCCCTCAAGTGCCGCGCACAGGAGGCGTGATCAGAATATTCATAGAATCGAACCGGCACGATAGAGGATGTGTGGGCGCACAAGGTTGGTGAACTGTTCTCGGCTAAACAAGGTTGACACAGGCTTGGGACAAGCCATGTCGGGATATTGTGCCCATACATTGTACATAAAGTTGCACCGGTTCTGAAGAGTTCATACTTTTTGGCTTTCGACTGGGTGACGACTTACACACGGCACGACACATACCCCACGTTCAGGTGCCATCCTGGTGCGAGGAGAACTGGAATTTTAGCACTTCGCTAACTGCGGCGTCATAATTCCCTGTGCAGTTTCCTATTCAGTTAGGGAGGGAGCGGGCGGGTGGCTTCAGTCCCTCACAACCTAGGTTAAATACCCCTTCCCAGCTTCGAAAGAACGTGGCCAAATATCAGGGGAGGAACCTGTTTATTAGCGTATTTTGGGGGTGGGATGCATCATTCTCCTTTCCAACTCATATTTCAAAACTACCTCTTGAGACTTGCTGATTTCGAGCCGCCGACAAAAATAAAGTCCTCGCTACCACCCGTGGTATGTGAGTGCCGTGAAATCGTTTTAAAACCCATTGACAATTTTTCATAGCTCTTAAGGGAGTACCTTGTGCTTCAGGATTATGGATGAACATTTAACAAGACGCATTCGTGTCATGGGTAAGCTTGCAATCTGAAATGTCGCCTCAAACAGGAATGGGCGAAACAAGACATACTCATTATTTTTTTACAGCAATTTCGTTACAAGACGGTACTCAATATACACTAAATCAAGCAAAACGACACCGGTCCAAGATGACATACGTTGTGCCATGGTTTTTTTCAATCGTCAAGACGCTGCTAGAAGTAAAAAAAGCCAAGATCAAAACGATTTGGCCTTGAGCCATCTGCAGGCGCAAGTTCCGAAAGACGTCGCAATGACATCAATTTCGTGTAGCGTACGGCTACGTTAGACACCGTGCTAGAGATCTTCCGGTGAACCGACGTGCAATGAAGTCATAAAGGTGAATTTGGGTAAAATGTGCCTGAGACTCTAAACCCCATCCCAGCCGAGGAGTCAGCAGTGGCGAAGTGGTTGTGCCACCCACCAGAAGTTTCATCCACCAGCTGCTGATAGATATAAGTCAAATAACTACCCATCTAATGCGATAGATTTGCCTTTAAGTGGCTATAATCCGGACAGAAACACATCAACGTCACGAGTGAGGCTATCCGACACATCAAACAGAAGACTGCAACAGCACACACATAATAGAGCAAGCCAGCGAGGGCATGTCAGGTCGGGGACCATACGTCGTCCGACACTGGTGCCTGGCACGTACCTCTGCGAAGTGTCGAGCGACGGAGTCGTGGACCTGCTGGCGATCCGCTCCCAAATAGGCCGCCGTTCGAGGAGTGCTCCGCTTCAAATCCACTCTCGCCTCGCCACCAACCGCGGCCAGCCAATGGCGAGCCAGGACGCAAGCCCGGCGACCAATCAGCCGGCCGCGAGGTGCGGTGTGCCAGGTACACTGATATGGAGTAATTTGTTTGCTGGTGATGCTCGTGTACATGGTCAGCCACTGCTTGCTCAACGGTTTATCTCCAGCGGGTGGGCGAGCTGGCCCGGCCACGTGCAGAGTCTTCGTTTCACGGCGTCACACAAGTCTAGCTTTCGTCAACTTTGAATATCTGCGTAAGCAGAAGACCTTGCCAAAGTCATCCCCTTAAGGGGAGTGTTCCACATTTGTATGGGATTTTTAACTCTAATAGCCATGTTGAAAGCCTTTTGATGCAGCTCACGGTCATGTCCTCTTAAAGACCCCAAGTCCTCTGGTTCCTAAGCTTAAAGGCCGCGAAGATGTGGGAAAGTAAGTTGAGGAAGTATTTGAAGGTCGCTTTGGCATTCAAGACGTCGTAGTAACGTCATTAAATTGTTGCATTTAATAAGCCATGCGGTTATCAATACCAATAAAACTCTAATAGGAGAGTCACTCACATCTGGCGTTCAAGAGCACGATTTCTGGGCAAAACGGCCGTCAACTGGATCTCAAGGAATGTTGTGCACGATACGATGATGTAATCAAACCATGACTTATCTAGGAGCACATATACTGGACGGAGGTTGTGCTGTCTAGAGCAGCCTTTAGTGCTTCAAAATTATGAGGACAGTTATACGTAAGCTTGCTTGATCATATCCCATGCTTATTTCAATATCTCCAAAAGTTAAACATCCCTTCCAGTGAGTGTAACAGACGACTTTACTCACATTGCCATTGATGAAAGAAACATGGGCGGTACAGGATAAAATCTACTGAAGAGCCGAAGGTAAAATCCCCTTAAAACTATGAGCCTGTTTTTGCCAAGCGCTTCTGAACCCTTGCCACTCTTGAGGATGAGCACGGCTTGAAACATCGAGCAACGGTAGTGCAATTGTTATTTAGCACCACGTCGTTAAATAATACCTCCTGGTATACCTAAGGCCGTTAGTTTAGCATAGAAACTTTCAACTCAGAATACCTTTTACAGTACTTTTGACACTTTTTGGAGACCTTTGGTCAAATATTACGCCAGTCGAGAGAAGAAAAAAAAACATTGAGACACAAACACAGACAGGCCTAGTCGTCGCCTTACAAAAACACACAAGCATAAATCTTTTGCTTGATAGAGCGTATGCCTGGTAGCGCAAACAAACGTATAAAAAACGGTCCAAGCGCCGGAAAGGTTGCATTTTGACCACCTGGAAATATCTCTTACAGTAGATATTCAAAAGGAACGGTGCATACCGACAATAAATGACTTAGAGGCACATACAATTGAGATCCGCACAGAGAACACATAAGTATTTTTGAACTGAAGCATTTTGCGTTCCGCGTGCTACAAACCGAGTGAGCCATACGCTTTTAGACTGAAGTATTGAAAATGATTGTTCGACTTTAGTGCAGACAAGCGAGGAGCGGCTGGTGACTCGTGTGTTTTGGGGTTTACGCGCATCCTGGGCCGCCCTACTTGCTCCACATCAAAGAGCTTGAATGAAAAACCTTCCTTTAGTGTGTGTGGCAACGTTCCAATGGTAGCACTAGCCCCCCGGGGCAGCTTAGGCATAGCAACGGACCTGGGCATCCAGGAAGATGCATGGCTATGACCTACCCATGCCTTTCTTTCTTCGCGCTCCCAAGCCATTTAATCTTGCAATTGGTGTTTAGATAGATGAATTGCATACCCTGCTCCCTCACATCAACGCCACAAACGGTGAAAGTTAAAAATGCAGGAAGTGGCACCAAATAAACAGGCTTAAAATGTTCCTTGATGGCTAGGATGTTGGAGAATTATGGTCCTAGCTAAGATATTTAGCCCAACACCATAGCTTACTCCGCGTCATGCCCACCCAAGTACCCAAGTCTTCGGCGCGTTCCCAGGCCATGTTTCTAAAGAGTTAAATCGAGCTAAAAAGCTACTGACATAGCACAACGGAATGTACACGTTGTCATGCAACGCTTACATAACAATTAGACAGCGGTGTGGGCAATTATACATTTAGATGAGTAGAGGCTATTGCATGCGTTCAGAAACAACAAATGCAGTGTTATCACAAACTGAGTTTGTCAACTAATTTTAAAGATATATTGAAGTGGAAGTTCAATGTTTTTGGGGCGGGGCCTAAAGTGCCTTAATGGAAGCGCCACCAATGCTACGATAGACCGAATTTACAAAAGCATGGAGGTGAACATGGACTTGCTTTACTGAAGAGAGAGTCTACTGTGGGCAATGACGTCCAGGGATCCTGATGAACATCGAGGTATGGAACGTTGTATTTCCGACATTAAACGCACGGTTACGCGCGGGCATCACAGCAGAGAAACTGCATCGCAGTAAGTGCGTTTCCGCCCTCAGTTATTGTGCGGGCTTCTTGTTACGAGCGAGGCCGCGGGACCAATTAATCTTGCTTTGGCTGTAAAGGCATCAAAGTTGAGCAGCCTAGCCCACCCCGGCTAGGCTGCAACGCTTCTGGAAGCTGATGCCTTTTGAACTACTAATTGCGGGCTCACGCAGTTCACAGCAGCAATATGAGTAATGCTGTACAATGTGTGTCGCACGAATTATTAGGCTCTTGCATGCAAACAACCCGACCAGGATTGGTTTCTTTGCATCATTGCAACAACGATATGATTTCACACCCCCATTCGATTAACATGGATAGGAAAAAATTGCAAAATGCTAGAAAGGTGAGGGAAACGGGTCCCAACAGCTCCTTACATTGATGCTTTCACAACATGAAATTAATGCTAACGGGGGCAAAAAACAAACAAAACTGTACTGCCATGCGCAGCGTGGGTAGGTGTATCCAGACCACACGAAATTTTCGTACGTAAATCTTTGCTTCGCCGGTTCTGGCACGTTGTATGAAATGCGCTCGGGAGAGGGTCAATTTTGTCCTTAAGGTTTTCCGAAATAACTTCCGAACGCTGCGGCACACCGCCGCCACACTACGTATAGATGTAGACAATTCGGCAGTGAATAGTTTAAAGTTGAAATTAAGGTATACCTCCTCAGGACGCTAACCTGTAGCAGGGTTTGATCAGGCCAAGGTTGTCAGCGAAGCAAATTCTTAGGGAATATTCCGAGCTGATGCAACAGTGGAGTGTCAGACGAAAACCCACCTCAATGCGATAGCTTCTGAGACGATTTGGCAAACGACAAAGGACGAAAGCTAATTCCATTAAAATAGGGTCAGAAATGAGAATCAGATCAAGGTCAAAACCAAACAGCTTCTTTACTGGAACGCTCGCATTACGGGGTAGTTTGAGAAGCTCGTTTTGCATGTTTTGATTGCAAGGACGTCAGCATGCACATTTTTTGATGGCATAGTCAGGGGAGATCACTGACCTAAAATGGCTCCGATCGACCTTTTGCGTTGTGAAGCATATCGCATAGTACAGTAAGTCCATCTCAGATTCAAAACAACATTATTTGAGGGTTTTTTGATCATGCTAGCATATATCATAGGTCGTATATCTGAAGATCAAGTGGTGCTAGTGACCAGATACGATCCCGTGTGACCTTTTACTCGTAAAAGTATCTAGGTTGAAACCGGGTGCGCGACGTGGTCTGAGGGGTTCCGGAACTGATATGAGTCTTTTAAACATTAAATCGCAGCCTTTTTAATGGAGGTATTTCTGGGATCAGGTTTCACGCCAATGATAGCTTGTTGTGTGAGCCCTGACCTCCACCGTGAAACCTGACCTCTACCGCGACCTCGGTCGTGAAATTTCGGATCAACGGCAAGAATTCGTGACGAAAGTTTGACGTGCCGCAATACTCGGTAAGGTCCGTCCTGCCCTCTGACGTCAACTGACCTTTAACGCAGCCGCTGCCACCGGCCGCAGGCCATATCTGTCGAGGGCAAATAGCGGGCGCCTAAGCGACCTGAACACCCCAGGCCACGGGTGGAGGAATTGGAAAAAGTGCGTTCTAGCCAACCGAGCTGTTGGAACGCACAGTTCGGTTGGTTACCAACTGAGCTCGAATTTTTCCTTGTTTGCCGTATTTGATCCGAAAGTCAAAATTCAGAAATTTGTGCACCGAGAAATTCACATAGGGTTCTACCTACCATTGAATGTAGTGTGTCCAGCTATGTTGTCTGTTATAAATCAGCGGATCATATTGATGTGTGTTAAGGATTAACGTCAGATGTCATCAACCATAGCAGAAAAAGACGTAGGTAACCACGCAAAGTAGGCAAAGGCACCGGTTACAACCCACAAACGGATCTCAGCGTTGTTCAACCCATAGGTGCAACAGCAATAGACAGGTAAACGCCCAATGCCACGTTTTCCGAAACCGCTCCCAGCACAAGACATGGTGGCGTGGACTGAAGAGCTTGGGTCATGAAAGCCAAGTTTTCCACGTTTTTTATTGCCAATACCTGCCGACCGAAAACTGTATGCCTTTTGCATTTTGTTGTGTACGATTGCTTAGACCATAAATAATGGCAAACTGTTCGATAGGATAGATTGATATTGCCGGAAATGGCCACAACCGAAACCAGCCAACCAAACTTCTTTCTGCGCTAACGGAAAAATGTTCATGTAGTAGACATATACCTGCTAAATTTTAAAACTTGGTGTGTGCGTGTGTGTGTGTGTGTGTGTGTGTGTGTGTGTGTGTGTGTGTGTGTGTGTGTGTGTGTGTGTGTGTGTGTGTGTGTGTGTGTGTGTGTGTGGTGTGTGTGTGTGTGTGTGTGTGTATGTGCGTGCGTGTGTGTGTGTGTGTGTGTGTGTGTGTGTGTGTGTGTGTGTGTGTGTGTGTGTGTGTGTGTGTGTGTGTGTGTGTGTGTGTGTGTGTGTGTGTGTGTGTGTGTGTGTGCGCGTGTGTTTGTGTGTGTGTATGTGTGTGTG